CTGCATGGTTTAACATAATGAACTGTTTCCTGACCTCATTTTTTCATCACATGGTGGAAGAGCTGTTATGGCCTGCTGGGGATTATAATTAAGAGTTTATAATTTACTTAGGTTGCCTACTTAATACTGGACAATACATTGTGCCAGGTAATATAATAACTATTTGCTAAGTAAATGATTTGGGGCGCAGTGTTCTTGCTGAGTGTGCACAGTCACTTCATACCGATAATGTCAGAGTGTTAAAACAAGCGAGCGAAGTCAAGCAGTAAGAAAGAGTAAAAGAAAATGTGTGGTCATGGCAGAAAGCCAATTAGCTTTCAACACCCAGAATGGCCTTCAGCTCACACAAAAGCGCACATATACACACACAGAAGCATATATTCAAAGGCTGGGAAGATGAACCATAATGTTCAGAGAGCTTTGGTTGTACGTCATTTTAAATGTCACAGACTTCACCACAGGGTAATGACTGATCAACCTGAGATAGATTCTAGCGTTGCCTGGCTTTTTATCTCTAGAGCTGACTGGCTGGAGATAGAATAAGAAGCAGTGTTACTTTTCTTTTTTTTTTTGTCGAATGGGACATATATACAAATGGGACTGTATTATAAAATAATGCAGTATGTTTAGGGATTCCACATACTTTTCATGTTGAAGTTACACACTAGTTGCGTTTCCATTACAAATGTACGTAAAACTCTCTATATTCCGCTAATGTTGAAGCAACGCAATTTCGCCATTAAGGTGTTTCTATTAAATAAGAAACGTAATTAAAATCAAATGCGAATAATTTTGTTCATGCGATAAGTAACAACTACTTCCTGTTTTGCTTTGTGGTTTGCGCCAGTGGAAACATACGGTTGTTGATCATGTGACTTGTGTGATGAGAAAAAAGTGTTTCCATTGCAGTTTTGTTAAATAAACCAATTTCGATGCAGTCAAAAAACTACCTCATCTTAGTGCCAAAACGTTTAATCGAAAAATAAGTTTTTTCAAAATTCCTTTAAGCAACTTTTAATATTTCCACTAAATGTCAAATTGTGCAATTATATGGTCAATGGAAACACAGCTACCATCTCTATTTTAAAAAGGGAAATTGCTTTACGGCAGATAATCCCACACATGGGAAGTCTTGGGTATGAGACTTGGAAAAACCAAAAACTGGAGAGAGAAAGAAAGTAAGCAAGATGGAAAGAATTTTCATAGATTACTAAATATGCACAACAGGGCATTTCTAGGGTAAATGAAGAAGGGTGACGTAGCGCCAGCGGTAAAATAATTTTTTTACGTAATATAATCACAGTACATACAATAATTATGTACTGTGATTAGGAGCGTTCTTACGGCCAGCAAAAAGCAAAACATGGCTCATCTGTCACAATGAAAGGTTAAGGTGGTATTACCTGTATCCTGATATTCTTGTGAACATTTCTGCAGATTAGTCACATCCCACTAATGGGAAAAGAACTGCTGGAAAGTTTCCACCTTCAATCTCGACAAAGTGCCAAGAGTTTTCCATGTACCTCTGAGCTCCTGAGATATTTATCTTTATAGGTCTGAGGGCATCTGTTGCAAGCAAACCCAATGCACAAGGCTCATGTTTCTCTTGTTCTACCATCAAGCAGACCAGGAGTCCTGAGATGCCATCTATTTTTTTTTTCTGTTGATTCAGATGCAAACCACAGATCTAATCAAAATAAGGCAGCAATTCTTGAGTTGATGGCTGCGTTGCTCCCATTTTAATGGGCAAGATCAACATTTGCTGGAAAGATTTTATGGTAATTTTTTGATTAGCCAATATTTTCTTGCAAGAAGGTTAATTTCAGTGAATTACCAACTAATATTTATCATTTTCCTTGTAATGAAAAAATTAATTAGCTTAGCAACACAGTTTTTTGTTGCAAAGTAGGGCAATGATACAGGAAAACTATTGTAAACAGACCCGTTGACCAATTTGTCTGAATTATATAAAATGAAAGATTTTTTCCAAGAAATGAATAATCATTGTGGTTTTCACTTTTAACTAGAAGAGCTGGAATCTCAAGAGAGAAAACAGGAATAGATGATCATCATCATATGAAGGTCTCAAACAAAAATAAAAAGCAACCATAATTATTTCTATTTCAGAGGAGTAATAATTGCCGGAAGAAATTGAACCATTTCTTCTTCAGCATACTGTTAAGTATGAGATTGTTGGAATTGCCAGAAGCAAGTGGATCTTATCCATGTAAGCAGCTCCAGCAGGGGGAAAAATAACTTGTGCTAAACCCTCACGAGGAAATGAGAGGCAATGCCTTGACCCGTGAGATGCTGAGAGAATGGGGTGGAAGAGAGGGTGAGAGATCAAGAAACTGAGATAGTGAAAAGCTATCTGGTGATAGGCTAGATGGTGTAGGTGCATGTAGGTCAAGATGGCCAATCCACAATCCAGACTAAAACGTACAGAGGGGAATGTGTGGAGATAAAAGCTATTTATTGCATGGAAATACACACATTCAAATGTTACTACATCTTTGGTAATGTTGATAGTCCTACCAAGTCTAAAATATCTCTTTGGTGCAAATGTTTGTGAAGAATGAAAAATGTAATGACATGAAACTAAAATTTGTCATTTTACTAAGTAATTTTATTGTCTTATCTTTTAGATGGTCAACAACAGATGTCAAACTATAATGAATAATGACTATTATAATGACTATAATGTATAATGAATTTAAGCTTAAAAAAAAACCACAACAAAAACTTGTCTCTTTATAACCAGAAACTCTCATTTTAACATGACATGCCTCCAGTATTCATTTCCTAATTCTGGCAGTTCAACACTTCTAGAATTGATATCTGATCAGATAAAATATTGATTTGCATGTCAACCAGGTACCAAACTAGTTTGTTAGTTTTTTGAATAATACTATAATTAATGTGAACTGTTGCTGTGAAAGCTCTTTATGAACAAACTTTCCTTACTACCTGACTAAATGTAGTAAGAAGCCAATTAGCGACATCAGGCACTTAAGTTATAAAAGCTTGTCTCAATATGTGAAATAATTTAATCGATGCTGCTCTTGCTCAAACTGGACTTTGAATTTGAGTTAGTAGATATGTAATGCAGCTAATTACTAGATAAACACTTTCCTGCACAGTGCAAGGGGCTCTCACTCTCTTAGTTGTAATAAGGAAATAATTGTTAGAAATTGAATGAAAGCATGTTTTTGAAAAATCTCTGTGATTCAATTGTATCTAAATATTGCAAAGTTACTTTGCTCCACATTTGCAGAATAAGAAATATGTTTCTTACTGCAACAGTCTTAAAATGATCACAATTGTGCCAAAAATATTATATCTTGGCTATTAAGTCTAATGCATTCTATTATAACTGGTTACCCAAAAATCATCAAACCAAAAATTACATAAAGCTTTTAGAACTCTGATCAAATGTTGCTTTTTTTGTTGTCAGTTGCAGAAAACATCAATGGGCCAGTAAATATGTATTATTAGTCCGATTTGAAGATTTTCCCCTAAGCCATGATGAATCATATAAAAATATGAATCATATAAAAATATGATTCATCATACTCTTATGATGAATCATAAAAGTATGATTATAACTGTATAAAAGCTGCACACACTTGCTATGCTCAAGTGCTAATATTATACACTAGAAAGTAGAGGGAAAAGGCAACTCAAGTAACCCAGGGCAAGTCAAAGTAAAAAAAAAAAACAGTGTTTATGTAATGTGACAAATGTTGATACTGGAGTTTCTATAACTGGATGAAGAATAAACACACACAGGGCAATGATACAGGAAAACTATTGTGAACAGACCCGTTGACCAATTTGTCTGAATTATATAAAATGAAAGATTTTTTCCAAGAAATGAATAATCATTGTGGTTTTCACTTTTAACTAGAAGAGCTGGAATCTCAAGAGAGAAAACAGGAATAGAACCAGATTGCAGCTAATGAGGAAATGAATTTCTCATATATACGTACTTTGACAGTTTACAACACAGCCATTTTTACTGATCTAGCCGCAAACAAAGAAAACACAGGTTGCAATCAATCTCGATGATGTAAATGTGCAGGAAATCTAGTTAGAGATTTCCCCATGCTGATCTGCTCCAGCGTCAGGGAATCTGTAATAATGTGACAACCTGTTACTCTAAACAAATTTAAAAACACAAGTTTAGACATAAAAGGCAGTTAGAAAATATTTCACTTCAGATGTGGTTTTGCTGACAAATGTCACACTGTGACAGTAAAGCAAACGGAGATCTGACTGCAACTGTATTTTTCTTTCAGATCAGGAATCTTTTTTTTTCCTGCTTGACAGTAAAATATTTACCTACAACTTGAGATTTTAGTTGGTGTTTTTGTAAAACTCTAAATCATAAAAAAAAGAACAATTCACAAGAAAATAGACGAGAGTGCTTTGCGTAGTTTAGTCCAGGGCCTGCTTGCTACATTTTACCTGGAGCTTCTCAAACGTATTCTCCATCGATCTGAACACATATGAACGAGACACAGCTGCATAAACAATCCTCTCAAGTCTTTAGAGGGTTTTGAAATATTAACAAAAGAGCTTGCAGGTACATCATATTGCAGAGCCAGCTATGGCAGCAGAGGGAAAATGTGTTAGAGTCCTATTATAAATCACACAATTCCAGCAACAGAATTGCACACCCAGGCCTGGCTTGTCCCCCAGGCAACCTGACAGCAAAATCCTGTCTTAACATTCTGTGCCCAGAGAGAATCTATAGAAATGTGTGTGTGCTGGTGAGGAGGTTTATGTAGACTTTTGTTTTATTCATGAAAACATACTAATCTGGAACTGTACTATGCATTATCATAGCGTTTCCACATTGGTATACGTGTGAGCGTAGAGATGAAGACGTTGAATGCAGATTAACAGAAATGAGGACATTTGAGCTGGCTCAGGCTAATGTCAGCCACTCCTGTTTTTTTTTTTTTTTTGCTCTGACATGAAAGGAGGAGAGAACTTACAGATCTTGTGCTTCCCTTTCATGGGGAATTTTACGAGCAGCTCCTGGGGGTTATTGCAGATGAAGACGAATGGCGAAGCAGACTCCTCACAGGTACCAGGGCACTGCAGAAGTGATGGAGGATAAATAGAAACGGTTTAGCTCCACTTTCACAAAGGAGTGTCACATCCAGATTTACATATGCCAACACTGAAAATCTGTTGATTCCAAACAGTCCTAAATCATCCAGTGATTCCTCTTTATTTGCCTATATTATGCTAAATGTCCTCCATGCCTGATCTAATACTCTATGCCTGAAAGCATATGATAGCTATGAGTCTTGCTGGGTCTTAGGCTCTGTAATTGCACAACTAATGATGCAGTTGCTGAAGGGAGCAGCTGTCGCCCTGGTGAGCTATAAAGATGACACAAAATATATAACAAGCAGCATCCAAATCTGAGGCAATCAAAGACTTTCTCAGATGTGGTGTTGTGTGAATTACACTTTCAAACATATTTCAGGGCGTAGACTCGCATTAATAAAGCTGGTTGGGCTATAAAAGCAATGTTTGCACATTGATCCATCACCGAGATGAAAACCGCAAAGACGTCCGAATGTTTCGAAATCGTCGTCCACAGAAATGCATGTCATTCATGGTAATCGAAGATATTTCTGCAAAGCCGTGTGGGATGCCATAACACATTCCTGTGAATAAGAAGGTGTTTTACAGCTCATAATTGACACCAGCCCACAGCACACAGAGAGCAAGAGGCAAGAGAAAACCTCTCTATCCTCGTGTTATTGATTGGTCTCTCAGGTGAGAGTAGGGAATTGACTGACACAGTGACAAAGGAGTCATCTTTTCCATCACTGGCAGCCAACGGCTCTCAGCTCATCCAATTTCCGCCAGCACTATCAGATAGTGCCCATGATTGCATCTAGCCAGGCAGGAAGCGGCTCTTTTTGTGATGGCACGCTTTTTTTTTTTTCCTTTTTCCCCTCCCCCAACCTCTTACTCTCCCAGCCTCTCTATCTCCCACACACAAAAAGAAAGCACTGAAGGGTTGTGACAAATCTGCAGCTTTTACAAGAAATCAACAGAGTCTGCAGCCCATTTGTAGGGTCTCTTGACAAACTGGGGAGAAATGACAGCGACGCTTATTTCTGACTAAAGCCCATGTCAACTTGAGTCTAATAAGATGGTGAGTGATAAAATATGTAAAGACTCAAAGCGTCATTAAGCACAGCTCAGGATCCGAGTGGAGGCTCTTGATTACATCCTTCAATGGCAAAATGACATTGCAATTTAAATTAAACTGGAGCTCACGGATAGAAAATTCATCTGATCATTACTGGAGGAAAACTTTAGCCGTTTTGAGGAATGCTAAATAATAGCGGAAGTTGTGAGTTTTAATGTGTCTTTTTATGAGCCGAGGTTGAACCTAGAAATAATCCAGCTTTTCTCAGCTTCTAAAATGACTTAAACCTGACCTCGAGCGTAAAAACCAAAAAGCATAAATGAAACAAAAATGAAAGCAGAATTTAAAAGCTAAGGTTAAAGACCCACAATACCTTTACCTTTAAAATACATAAAGCACTGAAATTTAAAGGGGCTTTAGTTTCTGTTTAAACAAGGCTATGAAATCCAACCTTCCCCATTATCAGTGTCGCTATATGGCTGAGACAGTTTATGGTTATGGGGAAAAGAAAAAAAAAAGTACATCCTATAATTCAGAAAGGTTGTCAAACCTGAAACAGCAAGAATTACATGAAGATAAAGTGGACCGCCGCCTATTCGTGACTTAGTATTTAGAGATATTTCCGTGGAATGCAACTCCAAATTATTTGCAGATTTTTCCCAAGAGCATAAGCTAAAATACTCAAAAAATGGCAGCTTTGAAAACTGAAATACTTAGATCAATGCTACTTCACACACTATTGGCTGGCGTTTGCAGAGCAGCCAGTCCAGGAGTGCCATTTGTTTTTCTTGGCACCGATTGAAGAGGGAAGATGAGGAAGACTATGGATGTTACCTTCTGTGGTAGTGCCAAGAGTGTTTCCACTGTGTTTACTAATGCATTTTAAATTATATTTGGTATGTGAATTATTAAGATGGGCAGTGATGAGCGTTTTTAGAGAGTATCTAAAGTATTTGTGGATTTCAGCTATAAGCTGGTGTCTGTGGGCCTTTCTTCTTCACTGCCTTTCTTCTTCACTTGTCACGCTGTTCAAGTTTATAGAAGTTTGTGTCTTCATGCACCTTGATTATTTTCTTTTCCAGTTACTCTGTTGTAGATTTGCTGCTATGCTTAGGATTATGGTCCAGTTACATGACCCAGTTTTAGTCAGGACCAATGTGATGGTCTCATGTTGGACTCTAGAACACCTTCCATCCACTGGACCATGTTTTTATTATGTGATTAGCATCACTTTTCCAATCATAGTTATTCTAACATAATATTAACACATAAAAGGTGGGCTGCAAAATGCATCACAAAGAACTCCTTGGCCTGCACTAAAAATATCAGCTAATTGTAAGTGGACTACATTTGGGCTCTCAATGCCCATAATCTGTGATGATACTTGCCTTTTTTATTGTATGCAGCAGAAAATGGTTAAGAAGGGAATTTAAGTTGGTGTGCTAAAGATATTGAGATGTAACTAGAACATGCTGTTGAAACTGAAATAAATTTTTCAATGTATCAATAAACTACTTAATGTTTAATATACGTGCTTATTTATTCAACCCAGAAAGAGGTTATCAAGTTGCAAACCATATCGTCACCACAACATTCACCAACATTATTGCACATAACATGTTCTTTATAACTATTGTGCAGTCTTAATAATTTAGTTACATTTTTTTTCTAAACTACACATACAATTGAACACCCATAATTAATTCGTTAGGATGAATGTTGTTAATGCTGCAGAATATCATCAGCTCTGATCCGTTTTATGTGTGTGCTAGTGATTTAGCATCAAACTGCAACATCAGCATGTAGTTAAAGTAATGACGCACACCCGCCATTCACTGCATCTACACTTGTTTTTAAACACACTGACCTCAGATGGGCTCATCTGTGATCCTAATTACTTCATCCGTTTATATGAACTAATCTTATTGTTTGAGCTGCTGACACTAATCCTCACACTGCTCTGCTGGTCAACTCCTGCTCGAGCTTAAGCCACCATCATGGTAAGATAATAACAATAAAGTCATACGACAAACATGAACCATACAGCTATTCCTGTTTCTGAAACAAGGCCATTCACACAGTGAAGGTGTTGTGTGTAAATGTATTATATTTGTGGCTCGTTTCTTTCTGCAGCGATGTTATGAAGATCCTCAACAACTTCCTGATGGTTGATGGTTAAATTCTCTTTTTTTCTACATCTTTTTCTAAAATAATTTATGATGCATCATTTTTTCTGATCGTGTCCATTTAATATGGTCTTGTTCAAGGACTTTTATTTATTGGTGGAACTTTCCCTATGATGAAGCTATTTGTAATCTTATACAAAATGTTTGTTTGTAGATGTAATTTTGTGCTTAAGATTTCCCTGTTTTCATCCTGATGATTATACTGTCCCTTCAGGTTTCTAATAAATCTTTCACCATACTTTAAAACGCTTCTAATAACCTGTTGTGAAAGACAGAATCAAAGAGGATGCCCGCTAACACCTGGTGCCTGTTGTCGCACTAGAAAAGCACTTGAATCTAATTTTACAATCAAATTTACTGCTGCTCCCCGAGGTCTACTTGAGGTTAATGTACATGGAAAACCGTCTGATTTTCTTAAACAGAAAAATACCAGAAGGAGAATCTTTTAGTCTCTTGTTTAAGTAGTTTTTGTTATAGAAATATGCGTAAAACCATTTCATTTCCCCAAAGTAATTTGTTGCTTAAATCCCTTCATTTTATTTAGACAAGCACTAAATTGAGCTAGGAGTACTTTTCTAGCCATTTAGACTAACTGCAAATACAGGCTGACAAAAAAAAAAACAAAAAAAAAAAAAACTACTTTCCACTGGGGAATCAGTAAAACAACAGTTTATAGAGGTTTTGTGATGTAGAGACCGATTTTTAAAGCTTGTTTTACAAACTGTTACACTTGAGATAATTTCATATCAGGCAGAAATAAATGTTGCCCATTTAATCAAAGTAAACAACGGATCATAAGTTGTCAGACAAAATACAGTAGAAGAACAAAAAGAGCATAATAGATTTACCAAACAAGACAGAAAGCCTCTCTCTGCTTTCTAATACAACAAACAAATTCATTCGTCGTTAAATTCTTTATAATTTCTAAATCTAAAAGGCACTTTATTATGTAAAAATCAAGCAGACATTTTGAAGCAAATAAAAAAATTAAACATGAGTCTGTAATTCATGTTTTGTTATTCAGTGTTTATGCATCTCAGCAAGATCACTGTGTACCCAATTGAAGTTTCAAAATCCATCTATTCCACTGGGAGCACAAGAAACGAGTCCACTTCCTTGTTATCATAACATTTTAACACAGCACTCAGTCTGCCTTTCTTCCTCTCACTCACCAGATGAGAAATATCACGCAAGCATGCTGCTCTTTCTGCAAATGTGCTGCCATGTCTGCGTGAGGCTTCAAAGAACATTACGATAAAAGATACCAAAACAGACGCTTGGCAATTTAACACACTGTTAAACAATGTCACATGTTTCACGACTGAAAAGTGGCTTATATTTATGGCTGTACAACACAATCACTCAATTAATGCAATGAAAGATGTGGAGAAATCCATAAAATATGTGTTTCGTTAAGCCAAAAATGCAAACTTGAATACATTTATTCAGTGTGGAAAACATCCCACAGCAAATAGCAAGTGTTTTTTAATTACAAAAATGCCAGAGGCACAAATATTGGCATCTCCAACAATTCCTACCAAAACATGTGCAACAAAAGAACAAAAGAATTGACTTAACTTTTTGTTCAGTTTTTAAAAAGATTAAAATGTATCTAGGAATTCTTTTACTTATTAATCGATGACTTCCAGTTTCCCTGGCTTATCAATATTACATAAGAGGCCCAGTTCGAAATGGGAAAAACAATTTTCTGTGTATTCAAATTTCTCTGGACTTTCCTG